CTTTTAACTCTCCTCGCACCCCCACCCTCTCTCCGCTTCTCTCTCCCAGCATCATCCTCCGTTTCTCCCACCACCCTCGCCGCCTCAAAATGTCTTCAGATCTTCTCCAACTCGGCTCTTCTCTCGCTTTTCCTTGGGAACGAATTCGGACTCGGGCAGGCACTGTGTTAGCGCCGTCGCTGCTCCTTGTCGTCTTAAAACGTCACCTCTTTTTAAAAACTTTACAACTGCCCCCCTCCCATCCACCCCCCTCCCTTCCAGTCTCCCAATTGAACGGTAAAAAGCTGCCGAGATATGTCGGCCCACCATCACCACCATCACCATCGTCATCAACAGCGGCAGCAAGCGAGTAGCGGCTGAGCCTGCTGCTGCTGCTGCTGCTGGAAACGTCTTTTGTTAGCGGGGGTTCTTTTTCCCTTTGTCGCAGCCTCGCCTGGTAAACAAAAAGGTGTTTGTAGAAACTGTTTGTACAGGTGGAGCTCGAGGCAGGTAGCCCTGCTAAGTAGAGTCGGCACGCACGCGCGCGAACAACACGTGCACACAAAGACAAATATTCCCACCCCCGCCGTGTAGCCTTAACAGACTTTTGGGGAAAGTGCTGTTAACGACACACAAAGACACACTCACACACCCACCCACGCACACACACCCACAAAGACAAAGATCCCGCCCCCCGTATAGCCCTATCAGACTGTTGGGGCAAGTGCTGTTAGCGAGCAGCACTTATAAAGGCCGGAATGTCACACGAGAGGATAGGTGTCCAGCACCACGCCCGGCCGCCTTCGTCTCCCCAGTGGCGATGTTTACTACACACCGCACCAGGTACTCATTTGAGGCTGAGTCAACCTTTGGGGAGACCCAGGACCTGTTCGGATAATATTCACCGGTGTTGGCCGTGAGCGGGAATCGAACTCGGGTCGCCGGGTTCGTGGCGTGGGGCGCGCTGCCCCCTCCACCGCCGCTCCACCGCTCCACCGCTCCACTGTCGCTCCACCGCCGCTCCACCGCCGCTCCACGCTGCCGCCAAAGCTCTCTCCTGACCCAGACTCGTGCGAGCCGCCGGGTTCTCCCCCTCCTCGTCACCGCGGGACAAACAGCACAGCCAACAGCCAACAGCCAATTCACCCCCCACCGACCACCCCCCCTCCCCCCAATGAGCGTCGACGTTATAGGTGCTCGCCTCCCGTTCACAGCCCCCGCAGAGTCGGCGGTGGAAATTCCACATTGTCGTGACGGGGGCGAGTCCATCCGTGTGACAACGACGTTATTTTGTGATGCTGCTGCAGCTGCTGCGTTAGCTGTGGTGCACTTGCGGACTGTGACCGTGTGTCCTGGTGAACTGTGACCCCTGGTGGACCGTGACCTCTGGTGGACCGTGTTCCCTGGTGAACTGTGACCCCTGGTGGACCGTGACCTCTGGTGGACCGTGACCCCTGGTGGACCGTGTCCCCTGATGGACCGTGACCCCTGGTGGACCGTGACCCCTGGTAGACCGTGAACCCTGATGGACCGTGACCTCTGGTAGACCGTGACCCCTGGTGGACCGTGACCTCTGGTAGACCGTGACCCCTGGTGGACCGTGTCCCCTGATGGACCGTGACCTCTGGTAGACCGTGTCCTCTGGTGGACTGTGACCCCTGGTGGACCGTGACCTCTGGTGGACCGTGACCCCTGGTGGACCGTGTCCCCTGATGGACCGTGACCCCTGGTGGACCGTGACCCCTGGTAGACCGTGAACCCTGATGGACCGTGACCTCTGGTAGACCGTGACCCCTGGTGGACCGTGACCTCTGGTAGACCGTGACCCCTGGTGGACCGTGACCCCTGCCCGCTGCCACTGGCAGTGCGGTCCGCCTCTCCGTGGCGTCAGTGTCAGTGAGGTTGGTCGCTCCTCTCTGTGGGTTTAAACTGTCCAAGGCAGGCCCCGCAGCTCGTTACTGCGCTTGGATCAAAAGCCAAATATTTGCAAAGCCGTGAAACTTCACAGGGTCCGGCGGTTTGATTGCGCTTGGGCTGCACAGGTCCGCGTGCCGTTGTGTTCATAGTGCCACCTCCTGCAGAGTCTGTTAAGCCAAATAAATAGTTGACTTTTGCCCTTTACAATAGCGGAGCAGAGTTCTATTTTGGTAACAGCATCAAAACATTGAGTCGCTCATTTTTTGCCAACTTATTCCGTGAGTGCAAAGCCTGCGACGAAGATTCTGCGTTCGGGGGCCGCTGCGTCTTTTGTATCCGGGAGTCCGGCTGTGCTGGTTCACAGCTTGAGATCGCTTTTATTATTACGCCTTTTTCCACTGCACATCCGAGCCGTGCCGGGGCCTTGTCGAGCGGTTTCCGCTCGCGTCACACGCGGAGCGGACGAGCGGCGACGCGCGTCGGTGATGCGCGGTGACAGCCTGATGGTGCTGGTTGTTGTAATTACTGGTGAAACGTCACGGTACTTGAATTTCGATTTAAAGCTTTCGTGACTGCAATGATTCATCTTCTTTGGTTCTTTCGGTAAAGTCACGTAGAATGATAATAAAATAATAAATTGATAAAACAACACAATAAGTCATTATTAATTTATTATTATTATGAGAATATTATTGTGTTATTTTATTTTATCAATTTATTATTTTATTATCATTCTACGTGACTTTACCGAAAGAACCAAAGAAGGTACTTGAATTGTAAATGTTGTTGTTGGTTCACTCTTCAACACACTGGTTTGCTGAACTAATAACGAATGGGCATGTTTTGCTGCATTACAAACCTTACTAATAGGCTGTGTCGGGTGGTGGCAGGTTTAACGACACGTTTATGTTTACGCGATCTAACCGAAAACAACCCTCTTATGGATGCTACCATGTTTTACGCTTCCCCTGAGCTATACTAATCGTTTTCTCCACCCGGGTTAAGTCTACCAGACACTGGCTGATTCATCTCATCCACCCGCTCAACTCACTGACACACTGACTCAATCACTCAGTCACTCACCCACCCACAAACCCAACCACTCACTCAGTCACTCACTGACCCACTCATCAACCGACAAACCCAACCACTCACTCACCCACTCACCCACCCACAAATCCAACCACTCACTCACCCATCCACAAACCCAACCACTCACCCACCCACAAACCCAACCACTCACTCAGTCACTCACTCACGCACCCACCCACAAACCCAACCACCCACTCACCCACCCACAAACCCAACCACTCACCCACTCAGTCAGTCACTCACCCACTCACCCACCCACAAACCCAACCACTCACTCACCCATCCACAAACCCAACCACTCACCCACTCAGTCAGTCACTCACCCACTCACCCACCCACAAATCCAACCACCCACTCACCCACTCACAAACCCAACCACTCACTCACCCACTCACAAACCCAACCACTCACTCACCCACCCACAAACCCAACCACCCACTCACCCACTCACAAACCCAACCACCCACTCACCCATTCACAAACCCAACCACCCACTCACCCACCCACAAACCCAACCACCCACCCACAAACCCAACCACTCACTCACCCACTCACAAACCCAACCACCCACTCACCCACCCACAAACCCAACCACTCACTCACCCACTCACAAACCCAACCACCCACCCACAAACCCAACCACCCACTCACAAACCCAACCACTCAGTCAGTCACTCACCCACTCACCCACCCACAAACCCAACCACCCACCCACAAACCCAACCACTCACTCACCCACTCACAAACCCAACCACCCACCCACAAACCCAACCACCCACTCACCCACCCACAAACCCAACCACTCACTCACCCACCCACAAACCCAACCACCCACTCACCCACCCACAAACCCAACCACTCACCCACTCAGTCAGTCACTCACCCACTCACCCACCCACAAACCCAACCACCCACCCACAAACCCAACCACTCACTCACCCACCCACAAACCCAACCACCCACTCACCCACCCACAAACCCAACCACGCACTCACCCAACCACACCGCGGGTCACGACACTTTCTGTTTTTTTTTTTCCCTCGCGCTGCCACTCCACTCTGGAATTCCCTCCTCCCACCCACCGCTCCTCCTTTGTCCCAAGCCCGAGCAGCGACGAACCTCGCTCAATTCACCAATGGGCCTGCGCCCCGCACACCCTCAATCTGAACCGCAACGTCGACGGTCGCCCGCTCGTGGCTGGCCCCCGCTGAGCCCTCTGCGCCCAGCGGCCGTGTCGTGAAACTGGAGGCGAACGGCCCCCGGGCTGGCTCGACGCTCGCGTTACAGCGCCGAGAAACGGTGGCGAAATTCGCGCCGAGGTGACGCGTGGAGAGTTCACTCGAGTGGGGGCGCAGGCCCGGACTTGCCGGCCGATGGAGTGCCCTGCCCTGTGCGTGTGTTCGTGTGTGTGTGTTCGTGTGTGTGTGTGTGCGTGTGTGTGTGCGTGTGTGCGTGTGTGTGCGTGTGTGTGTTCGTGTGTGCGTGTGCGTTTTCGTGTTCGTGTGTGTGCGTGTTCGTGTGTGTGCGTGTTCGTGTGTGTGCGTGTGTTCGCGCGCGTGTGTGTGGAGGGTGCAGCGGTGGTGTAGTGGTCAGCGCTACCGCTATGAATCCGGTGACCCCGGTTCGATTGCCGTTCACGGCCAACGCCGGTGACGATTATCCGAACCGGTCCTGGGCCTCCCCTAGGTCGACTCAGCCTCAAACGAGTACCTGGTGCGGTGTGTGAACATTGCCACTGGCGAGACAAAGGCGTCCGGGCGTGGTGCTGGCCTTCACAGGTCCTTGCCCCAACAGTCTGTTAATAGGCGAAATGGTGGTGGGGGGGGTGTCTTTGTCCGGGAGAGGCTTGCACGGCAAATCGCCCCCCAAATATTTGACACGACACTTTCGTGCTAATCGGAGGTGGTGCGAGGCAAGGGCATCAAGCGAGACGCAGCTAAACCGTGATGTGCGTGATGTGGGGGGTGGTGGGTACGATTTGGAGGCGGTGGTACGGAGCGGCCGGTCGTGTGACTGACTGTGCGCCGTTGGGTGTGTTCCTACATCTCGAACCCGTCGTAACAGATGAATAGTGCGGGGCCCGAAAGCCACAAGTCCAAACAACACGCATACACACGCGTGTACGATACAAACAAAAAAACAGCACACAGCCTCTGCGCTTTGTGCCAAAGGCTGCCGTGCAGTCAAGGCCCCGTCCACTCGACATTGATGCTGATGGTGGCCTCAAGGTGAGACGAGCACGAGGCGCGTTCTCTTTCCCCAGGCTGGCCAGCAACGCGACCTTCGTGCTGGGCACCGTGGCGGAGGGCGCCCGCGGCTCCGAGCTGGTGCTGCGCGTGGCGCGCGAGTGCGACGCGCAGCGGCGACTTCGTGGCGACGGTGAAGGCGGTGGCCTCCTGCAGCAGCTGAGCGCCATGCTCGGCTGGCAGCACCAGCACGACGCCGTCACCAATGCTGCCGGCACCCTCGGCACCCTGGTGGGTGCGGTGGCTAGGAGGTGTTAACGCCCTCGCCTGATGTAAAGGGTGGCATGGATTCGATGCCGACCCCGACGCCTGCTGTGTTTTTGGAGTCTGCGTGTCTCTCTCTCTCTCTCCCCGTGGATTTCTCTCCGGGTTCTCCGGTTTCCCCCTCCACATTCAGAATCAACGTCACGCGTCCGGAGTATTTGAACTTTCATTTGTGGCCAGGTCGCTTCTGAAAAACAGCTACATAGCTCAGTGCGCCTTACCTGCTTAAGCGCACACTGTGATACTCCACAATTCACCTGCCTCTGACTACGGGGCCAAGCAGGGCCAGGGGCGGGGTTCACGAAGCGTGACGTCGGTCAGTACGCGGTGAGGAAGCAGCTTCATCACGCGCCGCCTGCACGCGACGCCACTCGCTCATCACGTGCGAAGTCGGCGGGAGTGGAATACCAACCTGGCCCCGGGCCGGCTCGTAGGTGTCGGTGGCGACTGTCGTCGTTGTTGTCGTCGTCGTTGTCGTCGTTGTTGTTGTCGTTGTTGTCGTCGTTGTTTAGGCCGAGAGCGCGGCGGGGAGGGAGTGGCTGCTGTCCGAGGGCTGCGCCGACGCGGTCATCGAGCAGGTGACGGCGCTGCTGGGCGGCCAGGCCGGCTGGGCGGCGAGCAACGCGGCGCTGGTGCTGGCGCGCATCTCCATCAGCGAGGCCGGGTGCCGGCGGCTGCTCGCTCACCGTGACGCCGCCGCCACCCTCCAGCGGCTCGTCCAGTCCCTCAGCGTGGACAGCACAGGTCACGTGACCCGCGGCGCCTACGCGGCCACCACCGTGACCACCGGCACCGCCGCCGGCACGCCACGTCGATGCCTGCTGCATGCGTGCACGCGTGTGTACATGTGTGTGCACGCGTGTGTACATGTGTGCGCACGCGTGTGCACATGTGTGTGCACGCGTGTGTACATGTGTGCGCACGTGCATCGTGTTATGAGACGGAGGCTCCATCTGGAACTGTCACAGAGCAGCGCAGTCCTTCGTCCCACGGAAGCGAATGTCACAGAGCTACCTCTGAGATCAGCTTCTTGAAGTCACACTCTGGTCCCTTCTTGAAGTCACACTCTGGTCCCTTCTTGAAGTCACACTCTGGTCCCTTCTTGAAGTCACACTCTGGTCCCTTCTTGAAGTCAAACTCTGGTCCCTTCTTGAAGTCACACTCTGGTCCCTTCTTGAAGTCACACTCTGGTCCCTTCTTGAAGTCACACTCTGGTCCCTTCTTGAAGTCACACTCTGGTCCCTTCTTGAAGTCACACTCTGGTCCCTTCTTGAAGTCACACTCTGGTCCCTTCTTGAAGTCACACTCTGGTCCCTTCTTGAAGTCATACTCTGGTCCCTTCTTGAAGTCACACTCTGGTCCCTTCTTGAAGTCAAACTCTGGTCCCTTCTTGAAGTCACACTCTGGTCCCTTCTTGAAGTCACACTCTGGTCCCTTCTTGAAGTCAAACTCTGGTCCCTTCTTGAAGTCACACTCTGGTCCCTTCTTGAAGTCACACTCTGGTCCCTTCTTGAAGTCACACTCTGGTCCCTTCTTGAAGTCACACTCTGGTCCCTTCTTGAAGTCACACTCTGGTCCCTTCTTGAAGTCACACTCTGGTCCCTTCTTGAAGTCACACTCTGGTCCCTTCTTGAAGTCAAACTCTGGTCCCTTCTTGAAGTCACACTCTGGTCCCTTCTTGAAGTCACACTCTGGTCCCTTCTTGAAGTCAAACTCTGGTCCCTTCTTGAAGTCACACTCTGGTCCCTTCTTGAAGTCAAACTCTGGTCCCTTATTGAAGTCACACTCTGGTCCCTTCTTGAAGTTACACTCTGGTCCCACACACAGTGGAGGGGGCAGCACTTTCTCACTTGCGCTGCGTACGGGAGAGAAAGGTTTGTCCCTTGACAGCCAAACCGGTGTTTGTCGATCCTCAGAGCAGAAATTTTGAGCAGCACCAAATTGTAAACGTCATGGGGGATTCTTTGTGCAGCGATTGTGATGGGCATATTGTCAACTTTCTTTGAGTTGGTGGCCTCGACAAGGCGGAGAGTCTTGTGCATGCAATGTGGTGGTCACTTGGCACGCATGCAAGGCATTATGGGAAGTCGTGCCTTCCTGCCGTCTGTGAGCAGCAGCAGCAGCAGCAGCACACCCTTGCACGTGTTTCGCGATCGTGCTTGGACCTGAAAATCCACTGCACTTGAGAACCCAGTTTAACCGCAGTGGTGGTGTCGCCAAAACCCGGATTGGAACCAAGCATCTCGGCGATGCCGCTCGACACCCCGGCACGCTAACAGCACTTGCCCCAACATCCTGTTAAGGCTACACGGGGGACCTCTGTTGTGCGTGCGTGCTTGCGCAGGCTGCGGGATGAACGCCGCGTTTGCCCTGGGCCGACTTTGTGACCTGCCCGCCGGCCGAGACCGCCTCCTGGGTCTGGGTCAGGCCGACAGCATGGTACATGTGACTAACACGTGACTGACATGTGACTGGTGTACGTTTGTGTGTGTGCGTGTGACGTTGTTGGTTGGAGTGTCGACTGACACGAGCACACGCAGGCGTGTTTGACAACTGCGGCAGTGCGTCGGTGAGCGCTGCGCTGCGCTACGAACCTGGCCACCCGAGTTCCATTCCCGCTCACGGCCAACAGCAGTGACGATTGTCTGAACCGGTGATGGGTCTTCCCTAGGTCGACTCAACTTCAAATGAGTGCCTGGTGCGGTGTGCAAACACCGCCACTAGGGAGACAAAGGCGGCAGGGCGTGGTGCTGGCCACCCACCCCCTTCATGTGCCGTGCCGGCCTTCATAGGTGCTACTCGCTAGCAGCACTTGCCCCAACAGTCTGTTAAGGCTATACGGGGGTTTTTGTCTTTGTTGCACTGTGTATGAGCACCTGCCCACACGGAGTGTGTGCAGTAGCCACCTGTTTGCTATTAGCTGCCCGTGTTATTGTGACTTTCAGCATCAGCTGTTATGTTGTCAGGGCTGGGTGTGTTTTATATTTTGCTGCACAAGCCTTGTGAATATAATTGTACCAAGAATCACAAAACACACTAAGTTCAGCAATAAAAACACACGTGTTTCTCCGTGTGTGTGTGTGTGTCAGCGTGACCCACGCGCAACTGAAACCGTGTCTCTTTAAACAATTCCTGCCGGTCGTATTGTTTTAAAACGCTTCCGACACGATTCGAAATCGCGCCCCAGCTTTTACCGACCGTGTGTTTATTTTATATCGCAAATGGATTTATTTTCGGGTCAGATGCGTGAGCGCCGTACGCTCTCTTCCACCCGGCACGTCCCGTCAATAAAGTCTCCGCGTGAACGAGCGTGTGCCAGCGTACGACTGCTTCACATTTCTCGGTGCCTTCTAGGCCCGCACTCAGCCCACGCTTGATTGCGAAAATATGAAATTGGCACCACGCGTAATAATAATAATAATAAAAAAAGAACAACCGAACAATCCTTGCGCCACCACCGTCTGTCTGCCTTGGCTGCTCGTGCCGGACACCGCGACACCGCGTCTCTCACCTCCCCCGCGCCGTGCGCAGATCTCGGCGCTCTTCGCCATGGTTTGCCACGGCGATCTCGGCTCCGGCAAGAACGCCTGCTTCGCCCTGAGCTGCCTCGCGTCGGACGCCGCCGGCCACGGCCGCCTGTGCCGCCACCGCGGCTTCCCGGCCACGCTCGACCGCCTCGCCGCGCTGCTGGAGGCCGACGAGTCCGAGACCGCGTGGTTCGCTGCAACGTACGGAAGCGCGGAGGCGGAGAGCGGGCGGGCGCGGGCGGGCGCGGGCTGACGACGGGGAAAACCCCCGTCCGTAGTCGTAACCGCGCGGATACCCGACGATGCGCACGTGGATAATTACTAACGCCCCTAGGAGTGCGCGACTGTGGTCATCCGGAACAAGAGCGTACGCAGTACGACGCATAGCGATGCAATGCCCCGATCCACAAATACGAAGGAGGCATCACGGCGATGCACTCTCCGCTGCTCCTTACTCGATTGTCTCGCGAACACAATTGAATGTGAAAGTTTGGCTGTTCCTCCGCGTCCACATCGGCCGTACGACAGAGGAATGCGACTGTTGTGAGCACGGAGGAGTTTTACGTTCACACGTCGCGGAAACATTATGCAAAAATCTGAAAAAGTTTTAGATATTGTCCTCTAAAATCGGACAATTTTAAAATCTGAAACGTTTAAATGCAGCGCTCATCCGAAAAAAGAATAATTGGAGAAAGGCAACGGGAGAGTTCTTGCACATGTCTGAATATGAACGTGGTTTTGACTACTGGAAAGTTGTAGGTTCCACAAGAAGCCGGCGAATTCAGTTACTTCAGCAATTTTGAACAGTTGCACGCGACCGGGCGGAGCACAGACACATAGTCACTTTAAGATGTTTTTCTTGTTCGTGTTTTTTTGTTTGTTGTGGTTGCACCCGATTCAAGAGCCGAATGGCTCACAGGGCTATACCAAAATAAATCAACTAAAACGAACTAAAACTAAACTACGCGAAGCAAGAGTTGTTGAGCGAACGTCATGGACAGAGCTGGGTGGAGGGAAGCCCACGACCGCCGCCGACGTCTTTGAGGACAGGATCGTGGCGACGAAGGAGAGGAGGTCGATAACAGCGTGGCTTGGGAAACGTCGATGTGTGACGTCCGCGCGTCGTGCGGCGACCGGCGGGCGAAGGTCCCCGGAGCGAGTGCGGCGACTCCATCATCTCGCCCGCGGCGTGTTGCGCAGGTTGCTGAGGACGCTGGCGAGCCAACCAGATGGGGTGGCCTCCCTGAGGGCTCACCCGACCCTCCAATCCACGCTGCAGGTACTTGACAACCGCTCGAAGGGGCCCATCGCCTTCTGTGACGAGAATGCGTCGCAGACCATCACAGCGCGGCGAGAGGGCTTCGAGGAAGGAGAGCAGGCCGTACACTGCGGCGCTTTACCGAGCGGCCTGCGGTGTGGCAGACGGCGGCCCCCTTCTCGCGACGGGCCCCCGCCTCTTACGCGTCCTCGCGTCACCGTTGACCGCACACGGTGCGCCGTTTATCGAGGGCCAAATCGACGTCGCGAATTCGAATCCAGGTCCGGTCGCGGCGCGCGAAGAGCGGAGGCTGCGTGGGTCGCCCGGCTCGCGCGTAGGGGGAGCGGTGGCGCAGCGGTTAGCGCTCCGCGCCACGTGCCCGGCGACCCGGACTTGCTGGCCGACGGAGCGCCCTGTGCGCGTGTGTAGGGGAGCGGTGGTGCAGCGGTCGGCGCTACGCCGCGCTATGTACCTGGCGACCCGGGTTCGATTCCCGCTCACGGCCAACAAGTGACGATTATCTGAACCGGTTCCTGGGCCTCCCCTAGGTCGACTCAGCCTCAGATGTGTACCTGGTGCAGTGTGTAAACATCGCCACTGGGGAGACAAAGGCCGGCGGGCGTGGTGCTGGCCACCCAACCCCCTCGTGCGCCGTGCCGGCCTTCATCGGCGCTACTCGCTAACCGCACTTGTCCCGACGGTACGCCGCGGCTGCACGGGTTGGGGGGATCTTTGCTTTTGTCTCTGCCGCCCACAGCGAGTGACCGCGAGCGGGGGCGCCGCGGGACCGGAGCTCCTGGAGGAGGCGTCGGTGACACTGAGGAAGCTGCAGCCCCTCCCCCGGCCGCCCGCCCCACGGATCGAGGTGCTGGGCCCGCACGCCGTGCGGGCCTCCTGGGAGGCCCTGCAGCCCGAGAGCGGCGTCTGCGTCACCTACCGGTGAGCGAGGAGGCAGCGGCGAGGGCGGGGGGGCGCCGGTGGTTTGATGATATCGTAGGTCTTGGCCAGGTGAGTAAAGCAGAGACGTATGTCTTAGTTGCAATTCCTGACACAGGAAATATGGCATCTGTGCAGGACCATCCTTGTCTGAAGCCACATTGGGGCTCCGCAAGCCTCTCCTCAGCGTGCCTGGCAAGGCGATGTTGAACGATCCTTGCCAGGACCTTTCCCGGCTCACTGAGGAGGAAGATGACCCTGTAGTTGGTACAGTCTGTGGTGATCCCCCTTCTTAAAGATCACCAGGGGCATCCTTCCAATCCTGTGGAAACCTGTCTAGCAGTCCAGACTGCAGTCCAGACTGGACTGCTAGACAGTCCTTTGTTGTGTGTGTGTGTGCGTGCCCGTGTATGTATGCTGAACTTCTTTCACACCGAACTGAGCCAACCACGCTAATCGGGAGGTGCGTGCGGCGTGCAGCCTGTTTGACCGGGGCGAGGTGGCCTACACGGGGCCCGACACGAGCTGCGTGCTCTCGGGCCTGGAGCCCCACACCGCGCTCAGCCTCTCGCTGCAGGCCCTCTCGCCGGGGGACGACGGTCCCCTGAGCGCGCCCGCCGCGGCGCTCACCGACGACGGCCCGCCGGGCCCGCCGGACGACCCGCGGCTGACCGCGTGCGGCCCCACCCACGCCCGTCTCAGCTGGCGGCCCCCCCGCCGCCCCAACGGCGCCGTGCGCTCCTACGTGGTGCTGCGCGGCGACGCGGTCGTGGCGACGACGTCGGAGCTCGGCTGCCTGGTGGGCGGCCTGCGGCCCGGCGGCGCCGTCGAGCTGGCGGTGTGCGCCGTGACGGGCGCGGGCCGGGGCGAGAGGGCGGTGGCGGCGGCGACGATGCCGGGCGTCCCGCGAGCACGCGCCGCGGCGTGTCGCCCTCGCCGCCGTGGGCCGGACCGAGATCTCCGTTTCGTGGGAGCCTCCGTCGGCGCCGCTCGGAAGGTTCTTCAACTACGAGCTGCGCGTGAACGGCCGGGTCGTGTACCTGGGCACGGCGCGCGGCTTCGTGGTCCGCCGGCTGGCGCCGGGCTGCGAGCACGCCTTCGTCGTGAGCGCCGTCACCAGCGAGGGGAAGTTCGAGGGCAAGGCGGCGACGCGCTGCACCCTCGGGGACGAGCAGGAGGGCGCCGCGAGGTACCGGCGTTTGCCCGCAGGGTTTCCCGCGCACCGTCATACTGCCGCCCCCGGTGTCGCCGATGGTTTTTCTGCGGCCGTCTGGAACACGCTCTTCCGATGTTTTTAGGAAGCACTGATCTCATGCAAACTTTAGAAATTGCGCCGGTTTGTTTTGAGAAATAATTCTCACGCGATTACTGTGCCGTTACCGAGACTCCACGGGAGAAGCGAATGCATATGCAGTGGAGTAGGAAAGTGCGTAGTGCAAACAGTGTGATTGCATGGAAACAAAGACTGTACGGCTTATGTTGGGTCAGCCTGTTGTGAAGGCAAGTCATTACGGGTCATGTTGGGTCAGCCTGTAGCGAAGGCAAAGACAGTACAGGTTATGTTAGGACAATAGAGCTGGGGGAGCCAAGGACGGCTGTGTTTGGTTGATGTTGTTGTCAAGGCTGGAGTGGCGTCTTGAAGTCTGGCGAGGTAACAGGTGCATGGGCATGCGGAGCGCCGTTGGGACGCGGGTTAATTAATTGGGGTGTAATGAGAGCGGGGATAAGGACGGGAGTTGGAGTCGGGAGTGGAGGAGTTGGAGTTGGGGGCTGGACGAGGCAAGACGTGGAGCAGCTGAGGAGACAGAGTTGGAGACAGAGTTTGAGACAGAGTTTTGAGACAGAGTTGGAGACAGAGTTTGGAGACGGAGTTGGAGACGGAGTTGGAGACAGAGCTAGCAGTAGAGAGAGCGTAACGATAGCGGAGCTGAAGAAGAGAAGCGGTTAGCAGTGGAGAGAGCATAGCATCGGTGATAGCGGAGAGCAGAGACGAAGTAGTTAGCAGTGGAGAGAGCATAGCGACGGTGATAGCGGAGAGCGGAGACGAAGAAGTTAGCAGTGGAGTAAGCGAAGTAATAGTGGGGAGTGGAGAGACAAAGGTGGCGAGCGAGTTGAGTGAAGCACGGCGAGCGAGCCGTGGCGACCAGGATACTGTGGAATATGGAGGACATGCGGAGAGTTGTAAATAAAGCGGTGTTCGAAGAAAGACAAAAGCTGTCCGAGTGAAATCGAACACTACACATATAATTAAAGAAGCAGATAAGCCTTTTGGGTCAAGGCAATGACGTCGTACGTCATGCACGTGACGTCGTCTCGCGTGACGTCGTCTCCCCTGACATCACACCGTCTCCCGTTATATCACATCGTCGCGTTGAAGGGGACGTTTTTCCCGTGAGCCAAATACTCCCGACAACAAACCGAGTGTTGCCATCTGTTTATTTTCACAAGCCAGGATGAGTCTGCTGACGAGTAATCCAGAATTAACTGTAATTGCGTTCATTGAAATTTACTTAAGAAAGCGATGCACGCCCGTCTTTTTTTGTTTCTATTCTCGACGTTCGTTTTTTTTTTTCTCCCGTCACGGCAGCCGCAACGCAGCCGTGCAGCACCAACCGGCGGAGACAAGCGCCCGTGCCCTCCGGGAGGCAGCCAACAGCAGCGGCAGCAGCGGCGGCGGCGACGAGAGCAGAGGGGAGAAGCCGAGACGATCCAAGACCCTGCCACTTCCCCCGCGGAGTCTCCCCCACGGTGGGGGCGAGGCAGTGCACACCAAGTCGCCTTGTGGCCTCGCCGACAAGGAGATGCCAACGCTCGCCCTCGTGCACAGGTCGGAGAGCCGTCCCCTCTGGCCGACCGCCCGCCCGCTTGGCCTTCGTCCACCTGGCCTGCTTGGCCGGCTTAAGCCCATTTACCCAGTCAACTGTCAAACTAATCTTCGTCATCACGATCCGTGGGTGTCCACTGCACATATCGTCACTTGTTTCCACTTTCCTCTCTGTCGTCTGCCAATATGCTCAAGATGTGCCACATCTCTCTGGCACCAGTCTCTTATGTCGTCAGGTCTTCCAAAACTAATCAGGTGAGGCCCACCGAGCTACACAGCTCTTTTTCAGAAGCTACCTGGCCACAAATGATCGCTCAACGAAGTGTGCTTATCACGTGCAAATGTATCGCAGACAAATACTCTTAAACGCGTGATGTTGGTTCTGAATGTGGAGGGGGAAAAACCAGAGGACCCGGAGGAAAATCCACACGACCACGGTTGAGAGCGAGAGAGAGACGTGCAAACTCCAAATATACAGCGGGGTTCATGCAACTTTGGGCCAACATTGGTCCAGCAGTTATAACAACATGGCAGTGTTGGCCCAGCGTTGCACATTTACGTGGGTAAGCCCATAGTACTCACAGGTAGTATGGTCAATTGGCTATTAATGGCACAAAGTGATGATAAAAGTATGAATAGTAGATGTTATTTAAAATAATGTCACTCGTGCAAATGAACAACTCTGAGCGCAAGACTTCACGCAGAGGCACGGGACAAACAAACGCAGGCAAGGAAGGCAGCCAGAACTGGTGCCAGCCAGTTGCGCAAGGCTCCGTGGCCCTCATTTTGAGATGTTTAGCCAACTCCTGAGATTGGGTTGCTCGTGGCCTGTCAGAATAAACTTGAGTTCCTGGAAGAAAGCACACACACGTTGAGAGGAGAGCACTGACAGATTCAAGAATCCATTGGCTGTGCTATCTCCTGGCCTCCTCGCGGCCCATGCCTGTGACAGACGGAATTCCGGTTCATGTTAATTTTCCACGAGCATTTAGGTTCCCCGCATCATCGACATCGCCTTTATCCTTGCTGTCATCGATAGCAGTCGGAGCCTTTGTGATGCGTAATTCCACACAAAAACAAGACAAAGATCCCCGTATAGCCTTAAGAGGGCAAGTTAGCAAGCACCTATGAAGGCCGACGCAGCACACGAGGGAGTGGGTGGCCAGCACCACACACGGCCGCCTTTGCCTCCCGAGCAGCGATGTTTACACACCGCACCAGGTACTCATTTGAGGCTGGGTTGACCAAGGAGGACGCCCAGGACCGGTTCAGATAATGTTCACCGATGTTGGCCGTGAGCGGGAATGGAACTCGCTTCGCCGGGTTCGTAACACAGCACGCTAACCGCTTACACCACCGCTCCCCGCACAACCAGTGCATGCGCAGCTGTGTGTATCTGTGTGTGTGTCTGTGTGTGTGCGAGAGAGGGAGCGGTGGTGTAGCGGTTAACGAGCTGCACGACGAACACGGCTACCCGAGTTCGATTCCAGCTCACGTCCAACACCAGTGACGATTATCCGAACCGGTCCTGGGCCTCCCTGTAGGTCGACTCAGCCTCAAATGAGTACCTGGTGCGGTGTGTAGTAAACATAGCCACTCGGGAGACAAAGCCGACCGGGCGTGGTGCTGGCCACCAACCCCATTGTGTGCCGTGTCAGCCGTCATAGGTGTTACTCGCTAACACCACTTGCCCCAACGGTCTGTTGAGGCTACACGGCGAGGGGATCATTTGCCTTCTGTGTGCGAGAGACCAAACCCTGATTGGTCTGTTCCGGCAGTGGACGGGCATCGCCCCCCCGGCTCCTACATTGTGATTGGCTCTCGCGGCACGCGCGCAACGGCCGTGCGCCTGCCTTCAGGCCACGTGCAGCCCACGTCTCGTCTCTCGCGCCCACTTGCCCTCGACGGTGTTTGTCTTGCAGGAAACGGTCTGCAAAGTCGGTTCCCTGCAGCCCCCAGCAGCCGTGCGAGGCTCCCGCCCAGGCGACTCAGGTCAGCCTGACGTGACGTCACCACAGCCCCCCCCCGACCCCTCTGCCCCCCCCCCTCCCAGTACTTGAACCCTATCCCCGTACTCGGAGTGGCACCTCCATGTGGTGGGAGTGGCCAAATCACTCGAAATCTCCAGACTTTCTAGTGCACCAAAGACAAAGAACACCCATATAGCCTTAACAGACTTTCTGGGCAAGTGCTGTTAGTGAGCACCTATGAAGGCCGGTACAGCACACGAGGGGGTGGGTGGCCAGCACCACGCCCGGCTGCCTTTGTCTCCCTAATGGCGATGTTTACACACCATACCAAGGTACTCGTTTGAGGCCGAGTCGACCTAGGGGAGGCCCATGATTGGTTCAGATAATTATAATCGTCACTGGGTGTTGGCCATGAGCGGGCATCGAACTCAGGTCGCCGGGTTCGTAGCGCGGCACGCTAAGCACCACTACACTACAGCTCCCCACCATACACCATCTTATTACGCAACACTCACATCAACAAGCTGCTGCAGCTACCAATAATGGCTGGAGACCGAGGTGGTCATCACTGTCGAGGGCGGTGTGACTGAGCGTGCAAGGGCGGTATGACCAGGGTGGTGTGACCAGGGCGGTGTGACCAGGGCGGTGTGACTGACCGTGCCAGGGCGGTGTGACCAGGGCGGTGTGGCCAGGGCGGTGTGACCAGGGCGGTGTGACCGAGCGTGTGAGGGCGGTGCCCACCGTCGGCCATCGTTACTCTGACCGCGTTGGTGCGACCGACACAAAGTGATGAAATGGTGACGAACGCCCAGAGCTCTCTATTGGCAACCCACGATCACCCCCCCCCCAACACCCTCCCACCCATTTACGGCAACCGTCGGTTCAGCGCTGAGGGTCACGCGCCACTCGATCCTCCCTCGTTGAAAATCCTCTCCGCGAAGAGGTCAAAGCGTTGTGTTTCCGGCTTCTGCCGAGACCTTGGATTCGAATTCAGGTCTCCGGCATCGGCGATCGGTCTCAGCCCGGTCACCGATTGCCGCGCTAACCGCGTCATATTCCACGGGCTTGCTCAATTCCACCTCTGAGAGTGTCAAATGTTGGTTTTGTAGGCGTGCGACAAACTTCTATGCAGGGGAACGTAAGCACAGCAAAGGAAAGCCAAAACTATCGGTAGATTCCATCGGCGTGCGTTTTTGTCCGTGATAATTATCATAACAAATAATTAAAGGGCAATAACGCATTCATTATTTACCGTGAAATATAATTAATTATGAATACAATTAATTACGTGTTAATAATTACTATTACTAATTAATTATGACCATCAAAAAATATTAAATTCATCACAATTAGGTATAATGAATTATTAATAATGATAATAATAATGATGATGATGATGATGTGGCAGCCGACGACAGCGACGACGACGCTGTGGCGAGCTGGTGGCACGTGTCGTGTCGGCTCTGCTCCCCCCACGCCGCCGCAGCTCCCACCGCACCCGCCCTGGGTGTTTGCGTTCCCTCCCTGACGCTCGTCGCTGTTGCTCTGCGCGGGGCCGACGCCTCTAATCCTCCGTGAATGCCCTGAACCCCGAGCGCGACGCTGTCGCTACGCCCCTACCCCCCCCGCCGGTTATTGGACTCCCGCGCCCCCCGCGCCCCCCGCGCTCTATTCCGGCATCGTAGTCACCGCGCACGCTCTTCGTGAATTCTCGCGTCGGGCATCTCGCGACGCGATCGACGTTTGCGAAGAGCGCGGCGTCCGCGGTTTCCCCGTCGCCTCGGACCTCGCTCGGCAAGGGCGGATGAAGCGTCGATGATTCTCGGAGTAAATGCCGTTTTTCTTTCCCCCCCCCCCCGCCCCTCTCCGCCATGTCTTCATCTCCTGGGGCGGCAGTTGAATATTAAATCCCCGCTCCCCCCGTAGCCTCTGTCCACCGCAGCAGTGTGAATGGGTTTCGGTGCAGTTCGTCGGTTTGGCGTTGTGTGGGGTGAAGTGTGGGCACTGCCCCCCTCTAGGTAAGGCCCTTCCGCTAGCGGAGGCCCTGCTGCGAGCAGAGGTCGTGAGTGAGCCAACTGCAGGGCTGCGCCTTTACCTCTTACGTGAGGCCTTCCCCCCTGCACGCGGTTGAAACTTACGAGAGCCGTGAACAATCAGGGGTGTGTGACGATGCACTCTAATTGTCACCGCGTCAAGATTTCACTAAATCACTCGAGTGTAAGTAGAATGTCGTTCCGTATATGCGTGCGCTGCGCGTAAAGGGTTCACGTGACCCCCGTTAGCCGCTCGAGGCTGCTACATTCACCGCAATCTTGGACGAAAAAAATGGTTGGAATATTTATGTATTGAAGCAAAAAATGCTATTACGAGATCAAACGGACTCATAAAATGCCATCGCGCCCGCGAATCTTGGTCAGGCAACGCATTGCGCTGCGGGATGGTGAGGATTGTATCCCCACTCGCGGCAGCGTCGAATCGTCATCGTCCGTGTAAAGCTACCGTCATAGATGGCGGTTTGGAGCGCCGGTTGCCGCTCGTGATCGTTTGGCTGACGCGAACCTGCGGAGTCGGGCCAGGCGCGGGAGCCACGGCCGTGCACTCCGCGTGTCCCCGGCCAGGTCCACGCGAGGAGCCCGCGGGACGCCGACACGCCGCGGGATCGCCACGACGGCAAGGCTCCAGAGGGGAATGAACGAAGACGGCAGGGGTCGGCGGACGGCGGAGAGCGGGGCGGGCGGAAGGAGAGGGAGGGCAAGGAGGAGGCCGCCGAGCCGAGGCGGCGACGGAGCGAGAGCGGAGGAGCGGCGACAAAGCGCGCGGCGAGGCCGTCGCGCAAGGTGACGGCGCGCACACCGGCGGTGACGGCCGCGATCGTCCTACGAGTCCTCGACCCGTTTCCTGCGAGTCGGGGTGACGGGTCGGGGTGACGGGTCGGGGTGAAGGGTCGGGGTGATGGGTCGGGGTGAAGGGTCGGGGTGAAGGGTCGGGGTGACGGGTCGGGGTGACGGGTCGGGGTCACGGGTCGGGGTGACGGGTCGGGGTGACGGGTCGGGGTGAAGGGTCGGGGTGACGGGTCGGGGTGACGGGTCGGGGTGAAGGGTCGGGGTGACGGGTCGGGGTGACGGGTCGGGGTGACGGGTCGGGGTGAAGGGTCGGGGGTGACGGGTCGGGGTGAAGGGTCGGGGTGACGGGTCGGGGTGACGGGTCGGGGTGACGGGTCGGGGTGAAGGGTCGGGGTCACGGGTCGGGGTGACGGGTCGGGGTGACGGGTCGGGGTGAAGGGTCGGGGTGACGGGTCGGGGTGAAGGGTCGGGGTGACGGGTCGGGGTGACGGGTCGGGGTGAAGGGTCGGGGTGAAGGGTCGGGGTGACGGCACGCCGCCGGCGTTTACGGTCGCGCCGCTCCCCGCGACCGATGGCACCCCCGAGTCCTCGGCCCGCTTGCTCAGTCACGGCTCGGCTCAGGCTTGGCTCTGGCTCAAGCGAGCCATCGCTCAAAGTCACACGTGGCTTGAGCCGGTGCCTATGGGCAACTCTGGTGTCGGCCGCACTCTCAGGATTTCCGTGAGCCGAGCCTGAGCCGAGCCACGGCTGAGCCGCTCGCTGTTGAAGCGAGCGGCCTCGAGTGTTCACGTTTCAAGCTGATCTTGTTTCACTGCGTGAAAACTCAACAAGCCGGGGAAAATTAACGGATTCGTTTTCCACAACAATAACACTTTGGAAATTTAACTTTCCCCAGAGTAAAAACCCAAGACAGGCACGCAGAGATCTGCATTAGCGCAGAAAAATCTCGCGGGCGCCAGTCTCATCACATTTTATATCTTTCATTTAAACTCGCTCGCACAGTACATCTGCATCTGTTGCGGCCGGATGACATCCTTAGACGACCCGGCAGTGTGTGCCATTATTTACGTATTTAGACGTTTGACTGGGTGCGATGTTCACCGGATTAAATGTAAATTAGGTATGTCGAATGCGTCTTTACGTTCGCGTTCATTGTGTCACTTGACCCCTCAGAGTCGCTTTGAAAACGAGACGTTCCATTTCCCCCGGGGACAATCCGGGAGAAATATTTGAATTGACAAATTAAATGGCCCAAAAAATGTTGCGCTGTTCCGCTCCACGGACTGTGGCATCGATGACCCCCCCCCGGTCATTACGGAACTTTGGGGCCAACAACGTTCGTCCCAACGGCTACAGCCACGTGCCGACTTTGGCCCCGACGCCGGCACGATTACTGGGACTTTATTGTGATACAGAAATTCACCATTGAGAGTGGTGACCTGGTTCTTGTGACCCTGAGTTGAGAGTGGTGACCTGGTTCTTGTGACCTCCATTTCAGGCAGAGCACACGGTTAGGGTTTCGGTTCACTTGCCACGCATGCGCGTGCGTGTATGAGCGTGCATGTATGAGCATGCGTGAGCGTGCGTGAGCGTGCGTGTTTTCTCAGTGGGGTGCCGTAGTTTAGAGGTCCGCACGCTGCACTATGCAGCCGGCGACCCGAGTTCCATTCCAGCTCATGGCCAACACCAGCGACGATTATCTGAGCCAGGCTGGGCCTTGACTCAGCCTCAAATTACGAGACAGAGGCAGTCAGGCGTAGTGCTGGTCACCACCCTCTCGTATGTCGCGTGGGCTTCATAGGTGATCGCGAGCAGCACTTGCCCCGACATTCCGTGAGGCTATGCGGGGGGAACTTTGTTTTCACCGTGAGTCTGTGTGTGTGTGTTGTGTGCGGGTGTTTTCTGATTTCGTTGTGTGTGGGTTTGCGTCTTGTGAGTTCGTGTGTGTGTTTTTTTCTCTGAGTATATTTCATGAGAGTGTGTGTACGTTTTTTTCTGAGTGCGCGTTCTCTGACAACATTTGTCACAGTGGGGGAGCACAGGTGGTGCATTTCAGTCGAAACTAAACTATTTTTTAAAATTACACCAGGTAAGGCCCCACTGAGCGATGTAGCTCTTTTTCAGAAGCGACCTGGCCACAAATGGTAGCTCAAGGAAGCGGCTTATCACGTGCACATGTATAGCAGTCAAATACTATAAAATGCATGTGTGTAAATGTGGAGAAAAAAACTGCAGGACCCGGAGAAACATCCACGTGACCACGGGGAGAACTTGCAAACTCCAAATATACAGGCATCAGGGTCGAGATCAAACCCACGACCTCCTGTATACCAGGTGAGGTAGTTAACATCTTGCCACTGTAGCGCCCAAGTCAGCTCGGTCAACCAAACCAAAACATCTGGGTCTGTCCTGTGACCTCCTGCCAGCGAGTCTTCCACACTTCACGTGACGGCCTCAAAGTGCACCGAGCCTGGCACAAGTGCTGTGGTGGAGCGCGGATGTATCCAACACACCCGTGCCTCTCATCTTCTCGTCTGAATGTGGCTCGTTATCAGTGACGTCACCGATCGGTCGATCGACCGGTGACGTCACTGTGCCGCTGAGTGGCGAATGCTGGCTGCGGTTGTGGCCGCCGTCGTTGTGTGACGGAGCGGTGGCGTTTGTGTCCAGGTGGCTCTGAACCTGGCCTCGGTGCTGGACCACGGCTCTCTGCGCCGCTCTCCTCTCGTCCACCGCTCGAGCTCGGACACGAGCGACGTGGGAAGGTGACTCAGCAACCTTGAGCTGATAAATGACGCCGCACTGCAGAACCTCCATGCATAACCAGCCCAGAGCCACTGAACATCATAATAATAATAATAGCAATAATATTCTTTGGTTCTTTCGGTAAAGGCACGGAGAATGAGAATAAAATAATGAAATAAAAGAAGACAATAAAATTATCACGACGTTTCGGCCACAACACAAGCAGCCTTCATCAGGTGCAAGAACAGAACTGTCGGGACGACAGCGCTCCAATGAGCGCTCATTCTACGTGACTTTACTGAAAGAACCAAAGAAGATGAATCCTTGCAGTCACGAAAGCTTTAAATCGAAATAGCAATAATATTAATGTGAATGCTGCGTCGCCGCCACTGCCGCTGAACAGGAGTCGCTCACCCTCAACGCTGCTCATTTGAGCAGGGCTCTTTCCCTGTTTAACCTGGGAGGGTTTCTAAGGCAGGTCGCCGGACGGTGCAGTCGGGGAGCCAGGAGCCACACCGCAACGGCGCCGTGCGTAGCCGAACGATCAGCGCGGGCGCTCGCGAGACAAGTTCGACGCTCGCTTGACCCCTGCCGCGCAGGTCGCCGGACGGCGCGTGGAGGGAGGACGCCGGCCGCTCGCTGGCCAAGGTGACGCTGCTGGTGGAGAGGGGCGGCTCCGCGGTGGAGAACCAGCGTCGCCGTCGCGCGGTTGCCGCCAAGCCTCCGCGACAGGCCTCAAAGTACGCGACCCGAGGCCGCCACCGCTCCACTTTACCCGCTCGGCGCGTTCGTAACGGGTTGGTGCAGGAGAATAGTCATGAAACGTGCGTTTCAGGGTATTTGGCGGCTATACATTTCCACACGATGGTAAGCTGCACCGTTGCGTTTTCATTTGTGGCCAGGTCACTTCTGAAAAAGGGCCGTACAGCCTCCGTGGGGCCTTAATTTGGCCAAGTAAAAAACTTGTTTAGTTTTAGTTTAATAATCTTCCTCGAGTTCCCGAATCCTGCGTTCATGTGGCTTGCTGGGATTGGCAGCCCTAACCCCTAACGATAACGACGTCGCCCGACGCCACGTTACGCCACATTTTAAGCACACGGCATTAAAAAAAATAATTAAAGAAGTCTAAGACTAAATTTAGGTATGTATGCTTACCTTCTTTCGCACCGTACGTAGGCAACCGCGATATTTGGCAAACATTTGAGCAAGCCCGAGTGAAGGAGATGAATTGCGCCAACGTACCGCAGTTTAGATATGCGCGTGACGAAGAGCCATTTCTGGGAAGGAAGGTGAACGGGCTTAGGCAAGTGGAAGCGTGGGAGAGAATTCATCCTAAGATGCGATGGAAAGTAAACGAGCTGGCGGAAGGCGAACACAACCGCGGTCCGATCATAACGTACACAGAGGCTCCTGTCCAGGCCTCGTCGGACACTTTCCTTCGAACTCAGCTCTGCTCGGCGCGCGGTCGCGAGCCAGGAGCGATCCCGCAAGCGTGCCAACGACGTCGTAAGCAGCCAAGCGATCAGCCGCGTACCGTGCGAGAGAAGTTCAGGGCGCCACGGTGGCGAGATGTTAACTACATCGCCTGGTATGCAGGAGATTGTGGGTTCGAACCCGACCCTGACGCCTGCTGTATATTTGGAGTTTGCGTGTCCTTCCCGCGGCCGTGTGGATTTTCTCCTGGACCTCCGGCTTTTCCCACATTCAGAAGCGCGCGTTTAGAGTCTTTGGCTGCTATATAAGTTTCCACACGATGATGAGCCAACTTCGTTGGGCTATCATTTGTGGCCAGGTCACTTCTGATAAAGGGCTACACAGCTCAGAAGGGGCCTTACCTGGTCATATAAAAATACGTATTTGTATAGTACAGCTCGACGCGCGTACAACGCTCGCTTGACCCCTGCCGCGCAGGTCGCCGGACGGCGCGTGGAGGGAGGACGCCTGCCGCTCGCTGGCCAAGGTGACGCTGCTGGTGGAGAGGGGCGGCTCCGCGGTGGAGAACCAGCGTCGCCGTCGCGCGGTTGCCGCCAAGCCTCCGCGACAGGCCTCAAAGTACGCGACCCGACGCCTCGCCCGCGGGGACGCCGCCGCGGCGGAGCGGTTATCGCACCGCACTTCCGGGACCCAGGCCCACCGGTCCGCCGGCAGCCCAGCGGCAATCCGTAGCAACATCACCCCCCGATGCCCACCTGCAGAGCGACGTCGCGTTTATGTTGCGCGCCACACAGAGGCAGCTGCACTGGAGCGACTGAGGTGGGGATGCAGCGATCGATGCGGGATGTGGGCGCCGCGGCGGCGAGACGTTAACTGCCTCGCGTCAGTGTAAAGGGGTGCAGCCACGGCCGCCTGTGGGCAGGGGGTCGCGTGTGGTGGGGTAAAGTGTGGGTACTCCCAACCAAGCCAAAACGTCTGTCTGGCATTGAAGAGTCGGCTAAATATTTTATTGAGGGATATCTCGAGAGCTTCCCTCTAATGGAGGCCCTTCCACCAGCAGTGGCGGGAGTGGGCAATTTGCAGGGACTGCACCTTCACCTTTCGAGAGCCCGTGGACGAGGTGGCGTGTGGTTGGTTAAACGTGACGCTGGGGGTCACGCGGAGGGAAGGCGACCACACGTGGGGTCGTGTTCGTATTCAACTCTCGTAGGGTGCACATTCGCTCGAGGCTTAACGTTTCACGTTTTTTGGCAAAACATGAAAAGTCACTGGGAATAAAAAATCACAGGGACAAAAAGTCATTGGGAAAAAAATGACATTGTCAGATTTGATTTTTGTAAGGCGCGATTGTATCACCAGTTATATTCCAGTGACGCCATTAGTAACGTCAGAGCTTTCCCTACATCCTTTTACCCGAGGGTTATTGTAAATGTCGGAGGACGGATGTGAAACTTACGCTCCGACCAAGATACCCCTGTCATTCGTAGTCATTGATTACCTGGTGTGGTGTATAATCATCACCATGAGGGAGACAAAGACGGCCGGGCGTGATGCTGGCGACGCACTCCCTCGTGTGCCGTGCCGGCCTTCATAGGTGCCGTTCGCTGACAGCAGCTGCCCCAACAATCCGTTGAAGGCTACATGGGAGATCTTTGTATAGGTTAATCGTTATGGCTGAAACCGCCGTAGAATTGCAACTATTCGATAGTGAAAAACCCGCATTGCAGACAACCCTGCACACCGCACTAATGAGCATTGCGTCGCTCAAACCCCCTTCATTTCCAGCAGGGCGACGGATTCGACGCAGAGTCTGCCGATCATCGGCAAGTCTCAGTCTCTGCACCCCAGCGCCCCCGCGACACGGCCGTGCAGAGGCAGCGGCGAGCTCGGCCTGCACGTCTACGACTGGAAGCGTACGTCGCCCAAGCGCCTCGCGCACCTTCAACAAAACACATTTACGAGCTTTTTATTTTACCGGGTGAAGGCCCCCGCTGAGCTACGCGGCTCTTTTTTTAAGACGCGACCTGGCCACAAATGATAGCGGCAGCGAAGTGGCATTGTCGTCGCCTGCGAATGTGTGTCAGCCAAAAAACTCTGAAACGCGTGACATTGATTCTAAATGTGGAGGGTGAAAACCGGAGGACCCGCAGAAAAATCCACACGACCACGGAGAGAGAGAGAGAGGCACGCAGACTGCACATACACAGCAGCAGGCGTCAGGGTCAGGATCGAACCCACGACCCCCTGCATACCATGCGAGGTAGTTAACATCTCCTAGCCACCGTGACTCTGTATGATGTGCAGCCTGCGACTCTCACCGTCCACTCTGTCTCTCTGGTCTCTCTGTTGATGTTCTATGAAGAGGGCCCAATGCCTGAAATGGTCGCCTATTATATATTTTTCCTTTGAAGGCCACACGCACACACACGGCGTTACTGACGAATGCTTTGAGTTGTCTTGTGCTTGCGCACCGACTGCCAGCCCAGCAGCAGCATCACCACCAATTGATGTGTTCACTCACTGAAGCGATAGTCACGAGAAACCATTAAAAAAAAAGAATCTCCCTTGCAAATGCAATGGTTAATTTACTTGGGCGAAAAAAAAAAACCACACACGAAACGTCTACAAAGGCTGTGGTGTAATTGAGCTTTACGCGTTGTGCTGCGTTGTCCGCTAGTGTTGAGGAGGCGTGACAGACTGGCAGAGCTCACGGCACCCCGAATGAAACACTTCAAAGACAGGTAACAGCGCAACTTCACCCGAACAACAACGGCGAGTGGGGCCTTCGTTTCCACGTGAAGTTTGTGTCCTCTCCCTTCCACCGCACTGTCCCACGGCGTGGGTTACAACTCTGATGACGCTGGTTGTAATTACCGGCGAAACGTCTCGGCACTCGAATTGTGAATGTTGTGCTGTGCTAGTAACGAATTGGCACGTTTTGTTTGCGTGACAAGCCTTACTAATTGGCCGTGTCGAGTGGTGGCGGGTCTCACGACACATTTATAATTACGCGAATCTGACCCCAAAAAACCCAACGTATTATGGTTAATGAATTGGGGCCACTGTTCTGCCTCCTTTGCTGTTTACCTTCAGCTCCTCCTCTTCCGGTTTGCTTGAGGTCCACACGTATCATGAGTTGACGAGGTTGTCACTTTGTTGTTTCGAAGAGTTTGAGACCCATTCAAGACGTTTCAGACCCCCCCCCCCCACCCCCGCATATGAATTGATGCCTGGAATATGAATTGATCCGTGCGTCAGGAGGCTACACGTACAAAACACAAGCTGACAATAATTTATATTTGGCCCACATCTGACAGGGAGGGTCCTTGCGTATAAACATCTGGCAGTTGACCAACATTGGTTCAAGCAAGCTGCTTGGCGAGATACTGAATGTCAATGTGGATCCAGAGTGGTGCTTGCATTGAGCAAATATGGCTGCCATTCTGCACTCCCAGAAACCCGTATGATCAGATGGGATGTGTAAAAAGCACTTTTTTTTTACCTGAAAGAAAAATTATTCAGCAATATTAAAATACATTGTTATTAATGTTACGTCATAAATTAATTTATCCAAAGCGTCATCACCGAGTCTTAGCAAATTTTTTTTTAGTAGGGTCCATGCATTGGGATGTTTGGTGAATTCCAATCGTGAGAGTTTGCATGTTGAAGGAAAACAGGAGCACCCATGACACATTATTGATTTACGAAAGCTCCGCACAGATGGATTAAATCCACTGCTATACCGGTCACCTTGTGCCCACCTATAACACCTGGTATTCCCAGGCAGTCTGCTTTCGCAGTAAGAACTGAACTCTGTCCAGATTCGGGGAGATTTGACAAGGTTGACCACGTTCAGGGGTGATTTGGTCTGAGCCAAATATGCGACACAGACCTCACACTCCACATCTGCCAATCTGGGTGATGTGTGTAATATTTCATGAGAATGGGAAGAATGACGCTTTGTGGTTTTCTTAGGATCCCTGTCACAACCTCCACGACACCAGGGCAAGAGAATCATGACACAGGTACGCATGCATGCGTGTGTGATTGTGTCTTTGTATGTGGGGAGCGGTAGTGTAGTGGGTAGCGCGTTGCGCTACGAACCCGACGACCCGGGTTCGATTTCTCTCACGGCCAACACTGAACCGGTCCTGGGCCTCCCCTAGGTCGACTCAGCCTCAAATTAGTACTTGGTGCGATGTGTAAACATTGCCACGAGGGAGACAAAGGCGGCTGGGTGTGGTGTTGGCCACCAAGCCCTTCGCGTGCCGTGCCGGCCTTCATAGGTGCTGCTCGCTAACAGCACTTGCCCCAACGGTCAGTTAAGGCTACACGGGGGATCTTTGTGTTTTTATCTGTGTGCACAATTGACTGGGTCATGTAGCCCGCATGCCCAGCCACCGCGTACCCAATCAGCTTTTGTTCGACCAGATAGAGGAGGCTAAAGGGGCATGGCACGGGATAGAAAAGATATGGAATTATGTGGAGCTGAGTGGACTTGCCAATGACCGGTACCCGCGGTGTCAAGATCAGCCTCTGTGGAGGAGGTTCTAGAAGGATACTACTGGGCAATTGGAGGCAGACGCCCTCTAGCAACAACCGAGGATAGCGGAGCAACGCTCAGAACAACTATAGGAGCACCGGGCAATTAAAACACAGTAAATTGTCACGGTAAAGGGCACAGCTGGTGCATTGGCCAGTTATTTCACTCAGTCAACCCACGGCACCGGGGTCTGTCCTTGTAGCCTCCTGCGTTCGACAATTCACGTGGCCTTAAAGTGTGCATTGCCTGGCACAAGTGCCGTGGTGACGTCACCGCCACTTAGTGTGCACAATTGGGATGAACTCTGTTCAATTGCACATCCGTGCCATGCCGGAGCCGTGCTGAGACCCAGCAGGCGGCGTGGGTCAGGAAGCACGGATTTCACCCATCGCACACATCGCACGCGTCACCAACCCCGGCTTGGCTCGGCAAAGCGCCAGTGGAAAACCACCCATGCAGTCGTGTTGGGCCCCATACTGGCGCGGCTCGGATGTGCAAGTGGAGGGAATGGTTACGGGTGGCAGATTGCTCATGATGTGGTTGCAGACTTTGCGGTGGGTAGCGTGTGCACGTGCTTGGGTTTTCCTTGAAATATTAGCAGATGTATTGCGCTGCTGTAATCTTGGCCACTTTGTTGATTTCGTGGCCTCCATTGCAGGGGGCATGAAAATGCCACCTCTCATTGGGGCAGCTCAAGATTATTGCTCCCGATAATTATATATCGACTTTTTTAAAATAACTTAAGAAAAACAACTTAGAGTATCCATCTATTCATGTAAAAAAATAAACCTTCGAACAGTTTTTTTTAGCTGTGTTTCCTCAATATACTTTAATTATTATTTAAAGTGAATCTGTAGGTGGCACACTGCGCACTGCCCCAGTGCCTCGCGCAGACCAGCCGGCCAACGGCATCATTGTAAACAACACATTTCCCATTTCTGCATACATACATACATAGCGCTGCCCTTTCCACACCACGTTATAATGTCCACTTGTGACGCTCAGCCGCCCGTCAGCATGGTAATTCGCTCGATCCCAAAGAGAAAGAGCGCCTCATAGGCGACGAACCACGCACGAGTGTGAAGGCAGCCAAATCTCTCCCCCGAGCTCTGCGCTCCTCTACGTATGAAGGTGTTATCGGCCAATCAGCACGTGTTCACACGTCGGCGGGAACAGCAGCGCCGGAAGGAAAACCCACGCGTGCGAGGGGGCAAACTCTCTATCCCGTACGGACAGAACAGCCGGGGTCCACATTTGCTCTGCTGCCCTCTGGCAAGCCAGAATCTGGGCCACCTCCTCGACGCCCACGGGGAAGGGAGTTGGACCAGACGGAGATTCGCCTGCACCCTGCCACTGCGAGCCAGTCCTCCTGCGCGCGTTGACGGAGCCGCGCTCCATGCCGCCCCCGCAGCGCTGCTCATGCTCGGCAGCAGGTTCGCGGACGGGCGAGCGGGGGGCAAAGGCGACCGCACGACGCTCCTGCCGGGGCTCTGGCTCCCGGAGCTCAGCAACGTGGCGGGGGGCGAGCCCAGCGCCCCGCGCTACCCCTCCGCTCAGCAGAGCACGCGGACGCACGCCCTCGGCCGGGACGCTTCCCTGTAACCATTGGACGCTTATTTATAGCCGCCGTCAGCATCATCGGCCATGGTCAATCCGCCGTTGGGTGATGGCCCCCCCCGCAAGCCGTCGCCGCCACCTCTCGCGATCCTGCGGTGCGACAATGCACGCGGCGGCCGCACGCGAACCGACCCTCGTCGCTCCGTCTCTTCGGCGGACGTCGCCCCGCGGATGCCGTTCCCGTGCCTGGATGCCGTTCCCGTGCCTGGATGCCGCTCCCGTGCCTGGATGCCGCTCCCGTGCCTGGATGCCGCTCCCGTGCCTGGATGCCGCTCCCGTGCCTGGTTGCCGCTCCCGTGCCTGGATGCCGCTCCCGTGCCTGGATGCCGCTCCCGTGCCTGGATGCCGCTCCCGTGCCTGGATGCCGCTCCCGTGCCTGGATGCCGCTCCGTGATCGCTGTCGACCGCCGTCCGTCGCGGGCTGCTTGCCGTCGCGCGTCCTGCTCAAGCTCGCTCGCTCGCTCGCTCCTCTAACGAGTCGGGGGTAGGGGGGGGGGGACGTCGCGAACCTGCGTACGCTCTCTCATCCCCGTGCGTAGGCTCTCTCATCCCCGTGCGCGTGCTCCTCTTTCTGCCTCTCGGTGCGATTCCCACAAGTGTGCGTCTCTGTCTCTGTCTCTCTCCCAAACGACTCGGTCACTCCAAAGCGCCTCACATCGTCACATCGCGTCTCGTCTCCAGCGTTCGAAGTGGCTCACCCCACCCACCCCCCAGTGCCAGCTGTCCTTGTGCGGAACAAGGTGACTCGTGCCGGCTTGCAAGTGGGCACACGTCTGCCAGTAAGGGGGCGATTATTGCTGTGCATTGCTCCACCGGAGTAATTTTTCATATTTGGCAAAATTTGGAACAGTGACGCTGGCACCGAATGACAGACTCTTTTTTCGAAAAACACCGTCCGTATGTTGAACTTCTTTCGCGCCGTACGTAGCCAACCCGTGCCAATGACGCGTACTCACGGTCAATGCACAGTGCTGCGGTGTTGAGCAGGGCGGCCTGCCAGATTCGAACCGCGAACCTTTGCAATGAGTACCGAAGGTACTAGCGCTTGGGTTGATCACGTGATTGGCTTGCCCTATAGTGGTACACTTTGGGGGAGAAAAAATGTTGCCCTTCCATTAACTATGAGAGTGGACCTTCAACTTTGAATAACCCAAGAACACCATCAACCCTTAAAATATTATTGCGGACAATTTTGCAGTAAAAAAATTTGCTTTTTTTGTGAACAAAACAAAAATAATCGTATCTGCAATGGTCCATTGGACCTCTACCCCACGGCCTTGTATGTGTGTATGTTGAACTTCGTTTGCACCATACGTAGCAAACCGTGCTAATCGGAGGTGCGGGGGAAGGACAACAAACTAAAAAGAAAGAGCAGTTCTAAAGAAAAGAGTTTTCAATATAGATTTAAATTGCATATCTCCCAGTGGCTCCCGAATATCGGAAGGAAGAGCGTTCTAGACGGCCGCAGGAGCGAATCTGAAAGCGCCGCGCGATGCGGTGAACGCCGCCTTTGTTCGATGGCAGCAGCCAAAAGCCGCTGCTGCTGCTGCTGCTGCGAGGATGAGCGGACCTCTGCTGCGTGTGATGACGGTTCATGCTCCTTGAGATGAGCAAGGTCAGCCTTGAGGAACCACCAGTGGTGAACAGATCCCAGGTTGGGAACCATTGTCCGCTGAGTTATACAGATATCGGACATGACCATAAAGAAACTTTTTTTGTAAACGACCTGTAACCAATACCAGTACCTCATGTATGAAATGTGTGTGAATATACAAAGCGTGCGCGTGTTTATGGAATACCGAAATGTGTGCGTTGATTTGCAGACCAGGATGGGTGCAATAAAGACGTTACACGCGCTCCTTTTCAAGTTGAGGGTGATCGTGGAACTGCTGCTGATTATAAACTGGGCACGCCCGTCAACAACACTGCGGCCTCAAATAAAAACACAATTGAATCAGAGGCGACGTTTGGGGCAATGGCTCTTCAGGGCACAGAAGTATATATATATTTTTTTACACGGCACATGACCTCTCTATGTGATGTGAAGAAGGGCCATGTCCTGATAGGTCGCCGATTGCAATGCTTTTATCATGAAGGCAACAGTCCCATTGACGAATGTGTTGAGTTATTATCTACAATAGAGGTGGGGTTTTTTGGTGGTAAGATCGCGTAAATATAAATGCGTCGTGAAACCCGCCACCACCCGACACAGCCAATTAGCAACAAACATTTTTAATTGTAAATTAACAATTGTCAATGTTGTGGGTTTACTCTCCAACACATCGGTGTGCTGAACAAGCAACGAATTGGCATGTTTTGTTTACGTGACAAACCCTGATTTAAAGTTTTCGTGACTGCAGGGATTCATATTCTTGGTTCTTTCGGTCTACGTGACTTTACTGCAAGAACCAAGAATATGTGACAAACTCTCTTACTAATTGTCAGGTGATGGCGGGTTTAACGACACATTTATATTTACACGTTTTAACAAAAAAAACCCCTCCATTATGGATAATATTGGTTGCGAACTCCTACGTCGAGTTATTATTTGTGATCGTGCACCACCAGCACCACCAGCACCACCACCAGCACCACCACCAGCACCACCACCAGCACCAGCACTACCACCAGCACCAGCACCACCACCACCACAGTGTTCGCTATAACGCGGTTATTCCATTGGGGAACTCCGTTCTCACAGTGCGGAACGGGCACCGTTCTAACGCGAAACACTCCCATTATAACGCGGAGCGCCCACCTTTATAACGCGTAACACTCCCATTATAACGCGAAACACTCCCATTATAACGCGAAACACTCCCATTATAACGCGGAACGCCCACCTTTATAACGCGGTTGCTGAGTGGTCGACGGCGAACTACTTTCTTGCTCTGCGGAGTGACACAGCACGCGGAATGATACAGTGATGCGGCAGCGTACCCTCAGCCATTCGTGCGTGGTGTGCATTGATGGTACCTCGCCAAACCTTACCGCCACATTACTTACAGGGTGTGTGGGGTGGAGGGAAGAATGATTTTCCCTTCAACGCCTTTTTCCGGAACGCATCTCTAACCAGCGCGTTAAACGAGGACTCCGCTGCCATTGGGTATCCCAAATCGCAAAGGTCGAGGATGGCCACGAACTGCCACAAGAGGTCGCAATCAGTCTGCTGAGTTGTAAGTAGCCAGGGACTCTTGCGTCTGGACAGGGGCCAGCAGCAGCAGCAGCAGCTGTGTAAGTTTATATGATCTGCGTAGCAGCAAGGCGGAGGGGAGAGTGTTGGGACTCCCACCCCTCGTATATAAATCACGACACAGACACGCACACACAGTCTCGCACACACACACACCGCGATTCTGTGCAAGATAAGCGGTTCCCTCCGTGCGTGGCACTCCTCCGTAATATTGGACCTTTGCTCAATTTGCAAATTACGAAGCAGCAAAGCCTCGATTGTGTTGGCAATCTGAAGCGGCAGCCCCGTCGCAGCGTTGCACAATCCGAGTCGCCGCCGTCTCTCTCTCTCTCTCTGAGCGGTGTCGTTTTTGGTGGAGCGATTCGTGGCGTCGGCGTGTGTGGGTGGCTGGCTCACCATGATGAAAGCCCCGTGGGTGGAGGTGACTCTGCTGCACCTACTCGCAGTGACGTCTGCAGCGCAGGTGAGTGATGTGCGAGGTGATTCACAAAGACAAAGGTGCCCCCCCCCCCGTATAGCCTGTAACAGACTGTTGGGGCAAGTGCTGTTAGCGAGTAGCAGCAGCTATGAAGGGCGGGACTTGCACACCACTAACACCATCACTTTCACAACCACCACGATCACATCCACCACTCCACTCATATGAGGCTGAGTCAACCTAGGGGAGCCCCAAGACCGGTTCGGATAATTGTCACCGGTGTTGGCCGTTGAGCGGGAGTCGAACTCGGGTCGCCGGGTTCGTAGCGCAGCGCGCTAAACCCCCGCACTACCGCTCATCAGCACACGACACACGACACACACACACGACACACATACACGACACACACACGACACATGACACACACAACACACACACACGTGTGATGGTTATTATTTACACGGCTCAGCGAGTCGAGTGAGTGGCTTGCAATCTAAAGTTTGCGAGTTCCCGTTCTGGTGATGGCCTTGACTCAGCCCATCATCATCCCCTTGAGGGGGTCGATAAAATTGTTACCACTTCGTTGGCCAAGTCAACAATGATCGTCCTATGGATAGACTCATCCCTGCCGTACGAATGGAATTTCCACCACTGGCTCAGGACTGTAAAGAGTGGATGACCACCAATGCCTCAATGCTCACTTGACCCAGGACATTACTCAGGCTCTAATCGAATTATACACATAGTTCATGGACCCCTACAAGATATTTTACTTGCTGCGTACCACCCAGGATGACATAACTTGAGTTGTATTATCGTTCCTTGGAAGTCGATCGTCCAATATAACCTCGGTAAACTTAGCACGTTATCATCAAATCCACTTTTTAATTGGGGGCACACAGAAACTCTGTTCGCCACTTGTGGTGCTGCTACTGTTGCCGGATTAGCCTCGGCCACAGCGCACTCGCATGGACCTCCGATCAGCTTGGTCGGCTATGTACGGTGCAAAAAAAGTTCGGCATACGTTCTTTGGGAAGACTTGCTGTGGAGTTAGCTTGCTATTAGCCAGGCGGTGGTGGCTGGCTGTCGAGGCCAGCACTGTGGAGGTAGCAAGGGTTGGTGGATGGTGTAAAGAATGTTGTGGAACTCCCTTCCCGTGGGTGGCGAGGTTGCCGTACCCTGGCTCGCTAGGAGAAGGCGGTGCAGAAAATGTGGACTCCGTCCGTATGCGATAGAGTGTTTCCCCCTCGCGCGCGTGAATTTGCTCCAGGTGCTCGGGTTTCCTCCCACATGTGGACACTTATTAATTTGCCGATGGCACCTTAATATGTAGAAGACCGAAGGGCTTCGACAATTGCTGGAGTCGTCCTCTCTAGGCGAGTGGATGGATACTCGCGTTTATTGACAGTGTGTTGTATCTGACCTGCATGTGTACCCAGGTCCACGGGTTCCTCTTTCCATCTCTAATTCCTGACAACGCACCTCTCCAAACCTTCTTCGCCCACTTTTCACATGTTGATCCATATTTGTCAGGGTATGGACCACGAAGCCGAACGGTGGAGTGAGTGAGCGAGCGGCAAGCAATTCAAATCTTGACCCAGGCCATTATCCCACGGTGGTCGATAAAATCCTGACCACTTTGTGGGGAAGTCACCGGCATTTGTCCTGCCATCGAAACGTGGAATTTCCACCACTGGCTCTGCAGGGGTTGTACGCAGGATGATGAGCACCAATGTCTCAGTGCTCTTTTGAGTAGCAGGAATTCACTTGGACTTAAAACCAAAATAATTAAAAGCTCCGTACAACAGGAGAAACATCATCCCCCAGGTGAGGAGGAGGTGGTGGATGTTCCAGATGTGATGCGTGAAGAAGGCACCACCACTGCCCCTCGCTCTGTGAAAAAAAACAAGTATCTGGACCAAATGGAGGGGGGGAAATGCTGTGGAAATTATCCAAGCATTGGAACCGGCTGTAAAAAAAACAACAACATTAACGGAGTCATGTTTACTCAATGTTTACGCAGAAATGAAATACCTCGTTTGGGGAACGCTGCCTCAATAAATTATTCACTCCAACAGAAAAAAAAGTGATGCGAAACTGCATTGAAGCATTACGCGGAATGATAGCACATCGGCCTCCTGTCATGTGCGTGGCAGATTACGCGGTAAGATCGTGGGGATTGTGCGACCATACTTCACCGCGTTGGTGAGTACGGGGGTGATGAGAGTGTGGAGCGGTAGCGCGAAGCGCTACGAACCTGGCGACCCGGGTTCGATTCCCTTTTACGACCAACACCGGTGACGATTATCTGAACCGGTCCCGAACTTCCTCTAAGTCGACTCAAATGAGTACCTGGTGCGATTTGTAAACATCGCCACAGGGGAGACAAAGGCGGCCGGGCGTAATTCCGGCCACCAAGGCCGTAATTATAATATATATTAGGGGACACATCCCCCCAAATATTCAAATATGTTCAAATGTCCCCCCCAATATATTGCTATAAAAATTAAAAATAAAGTAATAATAATTGCTATGCTATGTAAATAAAAACAACAATTTGCTAAATCTTGGCCACAATATCTGGACTTGTCTTCATATAAATCAATGCATAGATTTCTGTTTATATGATTGTGGTTATGGTTGTACTTTATTAATCCCTTATCTCAAACATTACATACAATGAAACAAGAAATGGTTAAAAAGTAAAAACAGAGCAATGTAATACACTATTAGACATTATTGTAAAACATAAATAAAAAGTCCATCCCATGTGTTAGTGAATGTTTTAATATTTTAGGCAGGAAATTAGTTTTCAAATTTAGATGTTTTTCTGGTTTGGGACCCCCAGACCCCCTGGAAGATTTGGTCCCTCCCAATGTTGACTCCATGGCTACGGCATTGCTGGCCACCCACCACCCCCTGTGCCGTGCCGGCCTTCATAGGTGCTCCTCGCTAACAGCACTTGCCCCAACAGTATGTTAAGGCTACACGGGGGTCTTTGTCTTTGTTGCACTGTGTATGAGCGCCTGCCCACACGGAGTGTGTGCAGTAGCCACCTGTTTGCTATTAGCTGCCCGTGTTATTGTGACTTTCAGCATCAGCTGTTGTGTTGTCATGGCTGGGCGTGTTTTATATTTTGCCACACAAGCCTTGTGCATTTAATTGTTCCAAGAATCACAAAACACACTAAGTTCAGCAATAAAAACACACGTGTTTCTCCGTGTGTGTGTGTCCGCGTGACCCACGCGCAA